AAAGTTAACGGTTCTTTCTTTCATTAGATCACCTTGTCATTGTTGAAACAAATGCTTTGTCTCGTAATGTTTATCTTGCCTTAAGAGGAATCCTTCTCTTTGTCAAGCGAAAGGCTGTGTCAACAGTGAAAATGTAAACGCACCGGTGAGGTACGTTTACATTTGAGGGCCTTGCCTTTTTCTTCGTTGAGCCAGCTTAATTACTTTAGTAAATCTTTCTAACATTTGCATTTATGGACATATTTAGTTTGAAGGTTTTTTTTCGGTTCACATGCCAATCTTTTTATTAATTTTCGCCAACAGCAATTCAAATATTATTTTATTATATCATAATCTTAGAATGCATCAGTCGCAATACAGTAGCGGATAGCAGACACTTTAAACTTTGGAACAAAATTTTAAAGTTATTGTGAGATTTTCTAGATCTTGGGTTGTTCTAGAGAATAATTTTTGGTAGTTGAAATTAAGACCCTAAAGAGTGTACTAAGACAAATTATCTGCATAACAAAAGAGTGGCATTTTCAATTTTTATTTCGGACAGATGCAAAGAAATAGACACGGTACTCAAAGTCACTTCTGTCACTGAAAGCAAGTAACAAATGACAGCATTTCTCTCTTGGTACACATCTTTATAGTGTTTAAACAGCCCGCTGAGGAAATGGACATTTTTTTTGTTTATTTTAGAACAGATATAATAACGGTGTTCAGTTTAGGTTTAATGTTTTAGTAAATTGTTGCTTTCGGCTGGCGAATTTTCTTTCGTGTTTGCTCAAGGAAGCTTATGACAACTGAGTCATACTATTGTTCAAAGTTGGAGACAGCTAAGTAATTTTCACTGTCCGTCAACTGGCAATTGGTAACATTAAAACGTAAGGGGATAATTTTCGAATTCTTCTTCGGAAAATAACGCACCAAGACGCTGGGCAGAGAAAACCAAGGAAACCTCAGTTAAATATAGGCTTCAGGAATAGCTTCCATCCCCGGTTCTTCGCCAACTAGCGGAAGACTGATAAAGTAAATTACCAACTTTATACTTATCACTGAACACGCCTTCAAATTGCAAGAAATAGGTCCTGAACAGGTCTCGTCATTAGCGATGCTGACTCCTTTATTAGCTATTTTTATTTTGTGGTGGATTCGGGTCGCGAAGACATATTTTATTCGAAATTTTTGTGGTGTAGTATGGTTGAGTATTTTTACGAGTTGTGCCGTAGTTTGACAAGATCGTAGGGCAAGTCAAAATACAAACAACGAGTTTTGAAAAATTGAACTTGGAGCCACCCTGCAACTTCAATCAGCTTAACGGAGATAGTAAGTAAGTAAAGCCTTTTTTTAACAAGGGTGGCTCAAAATGGTAATTGAAAAATCCTAATTAACCAGTGTTTAAAATTTAAACAGACATTAGGAAATGTTTAAAATCTTCTTCTTCAAACCATAGAATAATTTTAAATTTGTAGAAATAAGTTCACGCAAATTGTTATGATCAGGTAAAACAATAATCCTGGCAGGTGAGCTGTAATTTTACCAGTTGTATTCAAAAAGGCCTGAAAAAAAAGGAAAAATTGAACCTTCGAAGGAGTTCGAACCCGAGGCTTCCGGGTACAAGTTAGGCTCAAATACCAACTGCAGAGCTGCGATTGCAATTGCTTAAATTGCTGATCATCTGCGAGTATCATTGCTTTCCTCGATGTTTTAAAGCCTAGTGTTGTAAAACTGATGCTCAGTGAATTGTCCACTTTGATTATTTCGCCTTTTTAACAGGTGCATGAAAGTCTCCCGATATTTTGGAAACCTCCATGCGTATATGAATGGATTCACACCCGAGTTTGCGTGCATTAAACTTGTTGAAACAACGTAACTCAAACATAAGTTAGATAAATCGTTAAAACAAGGCAGACAGAAATAGATAAGAAAGTGAGTCACAAACCAAGGTATGAAACAAAGTAGATAGGCGCAAATGACAACTGCTATAGCTTTGCAAAGCCCTCTTTCCCGTTGAAGGATCATCTGACGTTGAGTTGTTGATTGGTGTGTAAATTCCGACTTCTGGCAATACGAATGGAAGCGTTTTACCATCACAGCAGACATTACAGATATGCCAAGGAGAATGCTGATAATTTGAATATTGTACGCAGTTTGCATTATAATAAAATATTGGTGTTGCAATAAGCCAAAGATAATTCCAAAGATGAAGAAATAGATCCAACAGCTAACAATAGCAACACTGATTCTTTTAGGCGTGACAACAGCTCGATACTGAAGCGGTGTTACAATGGCAAAGAATCTATCAAGTGTTAGAAGGAAGATGTGACCAACACTAACGTTGACGAAGATTGCACTGACCGCCAAGTATGGAATTCGGGGCTTTTTGAAATGAAACATGGACCAACCCCAAGACGTGGCTGTAGGAAGTAGAAATGATCCAACAAGAAAATCGGCAGTGGCCATTGATAACACGATCAACCCAGATGGCGATCTGCGAAGCTTCTTTAGAGGATCTTTCCAAATTGACCAAATGACCAACGAGTTTCCAAAGACAATTACCGGAGTACATGCGATTCCAAGGATGACAAAGGTTACAGATATAGTCTCTAAGTTGTCCACTCTTAGCCAGAGTACATTTAAAGTTTCTTCGCTCGTCATATTCCAAAAATCGTGGTGGCCAACAAGCGCAGCCATTCTCATTCAAAACGAAGTTGAAATGTAAAAAGCAGCTGAAATTAGGTCCCTTGTCTGATTTACATGAAGTTTGTGATTCGCTTTGAGGACTCTAATTAGGGAGATTCCGAACTTGGCATTGTTTATAAACTTGGCCAAGATAATGACAGGATGTTAATATATGTTTTTTCAGCAAATCGTGAGCATGTAATTGAACTAATGCGCCGAGGCGAAAGCTAATTGGTTAGGTCGTGTTCAAATGTCACGATCTTCATTTCAAACTAATCATCATGCGCTATCGTACTCACGAGGGGATTACCAAGTTATTAGTGCTCAGCTGAGAATTAAACTTTTGAAAATGTGCTTACTTTGAGCTTGAAAAGTGATTCGGTCTCTTTTAGGGGTCTCTCACTGGCGTACAAAGATAAAAAGAGATTCAAGCGCGTTCACACCAGCCGAGCATTTTTAAAAAAATACAATTTAGTCGCTGAAGAAAAATATTTAAGAACGTTGACGCTAGCGACCGAAACGTCCGACTTTGAATGATGGACAAGATTGACTTGTTTTTGTGACCAGCCAAGGAAACACAAACATTTGTTATACTGGTGCGTGGGCGAAACGTACGAGGACATATCAATATCTACCGTTGCATTCAGCTGTCACTCTTTTTCGTTAATGGAGAGCTGGTAGGTATCTAGAGTACAATAAACTGCAAATTTGAAATATTGACCATCGCTTGAATATTTAGATTAGCTGTGAACATGAGATGTATTTGGCAGTTCAGTTTTAATCAGGGTCAGTATAAAGGCTATATAGGAATACTGCCGTTAACGTCATTCTCAAAGTCATCAATGAAGTTATATTCCCTCATAGAATAGAGAGATAAAGTGATTAAAAACAATGTAATGATTTAGAAATAAGAGCCATAAGGGTTTTACATGAAAGCAGTAAAGGTACTTTTGTACATCACATCAGGGAAGATTTTCTGTTGTACATCGTAATTGCTGGACCTGACCAAGATAAACATTGGAATTTGAAGGAGCCTTTTTGCATCAGACTTTATGATCTTGGTTTGACTGATTGACTTTGAGGACCAATGTTATTGGCAGGGACGGCGGTAGGAAGGCGTGATATTGATTTTGCATATCGTTAATGCCTAACGTCAGTCATATGAGTTTTCTTAGGAAGGTATTTTTCAAAAGATATGAAATGTAAATTTTTGTTGTTGAAATTAATCAAAATGTGTTGTTTGAACTAAGCAGCTTTAAACATATTTATTGATTACCTTTTTTTCTTGATTAAATGCCTTCGGCGTTTATTTAAAATCGACAGTTTTGACTCAGCGTTTTTTCGAGGCCCGCGTTTAATCGAGAAAATACGGTACATCGTTGTCGAATCCGATGCAATTCGCGACTCATTACTATCTATTCATAGACTGGATGGGAGAAGGGGAGGCGTTGAGGGGGAGGGGGGCAGGAGAAGGGGAAAGGAGAGGGGGGAGGGGCGGACGAGAAAGTGTTTGGCTCGAGGACATGACATACGGAACGAGCGCAGCGAGGTCCGTGAACCATGACTGAGAGCCAAATATTTTCTCGACGACCTTTTGCAGACTTCTTATAATTTTTATCCTTCGTACTTATCATCAGTGCTCTGTGATCACGTTTAGCTTTTACAGATGATCCAAAAGACGGAGACTAGTACCAAATCAGAAGCACAAATTCGCTGAGGGTCCTGAAAAGAAAAAAATCTCTTCAACTCCATTTCCATCCATTGTTACTTGTGCATTTTTGGATTAAGTGGCCCATGCCGTGGTTTAGCAAATTTGGTTTTGAACTTATTGCGATATGCATGGTGACTCCCAAAGGACACTTTGAAGAGCTTTTAGAAGCAACTACCAGCCTGAGGCTGTAGTCAGATGGCAAAAGAGGCAACTTCCTCAATGTTTGAAATACAACCCTGTAAACATGTAATAGTGGTATAATTGTAATTACTGGTCACTGTTGTTGCAACTTCTCGGTCCTCTTACTCTGGCTCGGAAGTATTACGTTTACGATATGCATAGGGCATCAGTTGTTTTGCATTTATCCTTTTTGAACCATTTCTGGTTAACTGCGTATTTTTGGACGTGAAATAACGGTCCTCCGGTGACTTGATCTATTTCCTTATTTTCCTATTAATTTATAACATTTCAGCCGAGGGAATAAACTTTACATCCGCGTACATGGAATAAGCAGTATTTCATGAAGTGTAAATTTCAATTCAATTTCTCTTTGCGCACAATTACTTGAAAAAATTCGCCACGTAGAAGAAGCACTCCAGTCTACAGTTAGGGGAAAGAGGGAAGGATATTTCAGGAAATTCTATTTTCAAAGAATCTACCTATTGAGTTACGAAGTCCCCTACGTAAATGTTATGAATTACGCTTTTTTTGAACTGCAACAAGGAACAGCATCCGTGACACAGTTAACCCCCTTTAAAATCATTAGAAAGTTATTTATCGTTCACAATTTCTGGGTGTTCGTTCAATTCATTTAAGCAAACTATCCTTAAAATCGTTTTGCTGTAAGGTTAATATATACGCTGTAATTGATATGATCTATGAGAAGGGACGCCATCGAAAGATGCATGCAATCAAGCAATCTCGTCAAGTTGTTGAAACTTTTTTATTTGCGCTATAAAGCAAATCTTTTGGCGTGGATAAAAGGCCCTTAAAGAAGTAAAGACAATAAAATAATATGAGTATAATCATTGATTAAATTTTTGAACTGTGAAAGTTGGCCTAACCAAATTGTTGGTTGATTGTTACGTGATCCAACCGTATATCTTTCACAAAGGGAAATTTGAGGGGGCATCTAAAAAAAATAATAAACGATTCTGAACACTAAGGATATTAGTAGTTATCAAAATGTCGTTTCCGTCTTAATGACGTCAATGAAGAGAAAAAAGCATGTCGTAATCATTTTCACAGATTGAAAGACGAAGGTTGAATCATAGACGTAAACATAGAAGTACGATTAGGTTTTTGTTTGTACAGTTTTCTTGTTTTCTTGTAAAAGTCTCGTTTTCTGCTGTAAGAAGCATTTATTGGAGCCGAAGTAGAGATAATACATAATTGGAAATAGAGGCTTCCAATATACTTCAATAACACCGCAAACTTTATATCGTCATTATCTTCTTGAGGTCCAAGGGAGCCAAAGTGTCTTCAAAATACGACTTATTTTTACACGAGTCACCGAGTTGCAGACTTCATCGGGAAAACCAGATAATAGGTTGAAATGGCGGCCGTTCATGGCCACTACAACATCTGGAACGTAACAAGCGAGCAAGCTCTTCAAGAAGGATGGCTAAGCCTACAAAACGTGAGGACACTTTCAGCGATCAGCGCTGCCCTATCCATAGCAATGGCACCAGTAATCGTATTTGGAAATATTTTGGTCTTAGTTGCAGTTTGGAAAGATCCCCTCAAGAAACTCCGATCATCACCCTCTAACCTCATTTTGACATCCATGGCCATAGCAGACCTATTAGTTGGCTTGGTGGTTTGTCCGATAACTGCTTATTGGGGCTTGGTGATATCTGTCCGAGGAGAATCACCGCTAGATCTTTCTGTGATATTTGCCATCAACGTTTTCTCTGTAAACGTGAGTTTTGGCCATATGTTCCTTCTAACAGTGGACAGAGTCTTCGCCGTAACTACGCCACTTCGTTACCGTGTAACAGTTACAAATAAGAGAGTTTTTATTGCCAACTGTGCTTGCTGGATTTATTTCATAGCTTTTGGCATTGCATTCCTCGTGTTGCGCGATTTATTTGCCATAATGGGGGCTGTCGACAACTTTCAACTTCTATTTATGCTTTTGGGCATGTTGGCCATGTACGTAATGATCTTAAACTACTTTCACCGATACTCCAAAGAAAGAGCAGAAGGACACTCACTCAGAGATCGTAACATTATAATGCAAAGAGAAAAAGATCTCTTTAAGGCAATCTCAGTTGTCGTCTGCGCAATTCTCATCTGTTACATGCCGTGGTTAATCGTTAGTACGTTGATCTACTTTTGCAAAGCGTGCCATCCACATTTACCATTACTGATGGTTTCTCTCGGATTTTCAGGAAGTCTGACATGCGCAAACTCGGGTTTAAACCCATTTTTGTATACGTGGCGACTCCCAAAGTATAGAGAAACATTAATATACTTTTGGAGGCAACTAATTTTAAAGAAAGGAAAAGCTAACAAATCAAAATTTACGATATCTTAAAGCTTCTGTCGAGGGTTTAGTTGTCAGAAAGCACGAACCTTGAATAAAGAGATCTAATTGTCCTAGAAGGATGGTGTTGAATATTTAATATCTGCCGCGTTTCAAACAATCACCAGAAGGACCGTAGGGGTTAGTTGATCGCTTGATGGAAGTACGACGTCAGCATCTGAAGATAGAGAGATGAAGGTCTCATTGGGTCTAATCATGAGCTGTAAAACGGCAAATAAAAGTTAGCCGTTAGGCGAAAAAGTTGACAACTTTTAACTGTTAGTCGTAAAGAAAGTTAATGGTTAAAATTTTCTTTCAACCGTAACGGAAAGAAATTAAATGTTAGCGGTAAAATGATTAACATTTCAACTGTTAGCAGTAAAAGAAGTTATCACCCAAGTGAGACACTCAGTGATTGATCGCCTTTGAAAACCATAAATAGTACTTGCGGGAAAGCGAAGTTCAATGCGAGTGAAACTCGCATTAAAACTGATGCATATTAGAAGGTAGTTTTCTTGCGTGTCGGGATTTTCATTTTTAGTTTGATAAATTAATATGAGATCCCTTGAGCCTTAATCAAGTGATCGACACACCAAGCTCTAGGGCAATATCTCGTAAATATCTTTATTTGGGAGCAAATAAATAAAGTTATCATGAAGTCACTCACGAGAAACGAGTTTCAATTTCCTGTAAGTTTTATCTAAGTTCCGATCACCAATATCTTAGTTTGTATAGGTAATCACATGATTTTAAGGGCAATTTGGAATAAATAAGCACGAGTAAAATGTTTTTAAAGACTAACAAAATTGCACGAGCCCGTAGGGTGAGTGCAATTTGTGGTCTTTGAAAAAATTAACAAGTGCTTATATATTCCAAATTGCACGAGAAAAATCATGCGACTACGTGTTAATAAAATACATGAAACAATACGAGATAGCTCATCATAATCAAGCAGAAGCCAAGCGCGCGCATCAAGTGTAAAAATAATTTGCGTGCGTTCGGTCAAAACAAACGCGTACGATCAAAACAGTAATAGACAATGATATCATCACATCTTTAAGGCACAAAAAAGTTCAAAGTCCGACTAAACAGTTAAAGGAAT